GTATATATGATTGAGTTATAGAGTCGTGTAAATGATGATCGTTGTGAATGCTATTAAGTTTAAATCAAAGAAAAATAAATTTAAATTTATAAGACATGCATTATGAAAGAGAATTTATTATTACTTTTATTACTGTTAAATTATATTACAATTATATTAAAATAATTATTGTTACTTTTAAATTTTATACAATTATCTTTTATTATTTATTTTTATTAATTACCATTACAATTTTAAATTGTTCTTATAGTTTTTCTTACTCTATCTAGCAGCGCCAAGTATTTTGACATGAAAAAGTTTTCTATTTAAATTAAATTTTTTTATTTTATACGGTGTTTAATTTTTTGTGGTAACACTTAAATTGAGCAAGATAACGCAATTTTGTGATAATGTTTTGTATAATGTTTTGAAGGAGAATTAAATAACCACTACTTTAGTTGGAAGAGGAAATGTCTTTAAATGAAATGTGATATAATAATTTCATTTAAGAGGAATTTAAACCATTTGGATTGGAATAGGAAGATTCTTCAATAAGTATACGTATGCTTAGGTTTCGATGCATAAATATTAAAGATAGTACCATTTGGTTAAGTAAACAATAAAGATAGTATCACTTGAGTTTTACTTTTTATTTTAATAGTAGAATTTAACTTGGTGCTACAGTTGTTGATATCAAATCGTTTGTACAAATAATACATACCATTAGATTAATAGATAGATATATTTATTAGCGACTCCCCTCAGGGTTGCGCTCTTTTATACATACAATCACATTACATAATAATCTTATTCTACCCTTAATGTAATTCTTACATACTATTAAATCTTATCTTTACTTTACGACTATGTTCTCTCCCTCTCTCTGGGACTTCCGTTTCCTTTTGTCTTTCTTTTCTCATTCTTATCTCACTTTATCCCCCTCCCTACGCTTTGCCCCAAACGCCACCTCATTCACTCTTACACTTTCACTCTCCCCCTCCCTCCCCCCACCCTTCCCTTTCTCTTTCCTCTCTCCTCATCCACCACTCCTCTCCCTTTCTCTCTTCCCCCAACACCCATCCCATTACCATCTGCCAGCTCTCTGCTCCCATCCCCCAGTCTCTACATCTCTCCCATACGTGCTCCCAAGTTCCTTCCTCCCCTCCACACAGTCTACATACCCTCTTCCTGTCTTCCTCCCAATATAATCCTACCCTCATTTCGTTTCCTAACCTATATCTTATCATTCTCCTCCACCTGCTTTCCCCCTACCCCTTCTTCAGGTATGCCGGGATCTCTTCTATCCTGATTTCCTCATACCCCCTATTATATCTGGAATCCCTTATTTTCCCTCTTCTTTCCTCCCTCTGTATCTCTCTATAAACCACATATCCCCCTCCTGCCTTCTCCTCTCAACCTCTTTAACATCCCACCCCCTATTTTCAAAGAACTTCTTCCTTTCTTCTTCCCATTCTGATCCTACTCTGCCCTCTCCATTTCTCTCTCTCATTTCTCTCCAACATGTTCTCGTCAGCTCACTTCCCTTTCCTCTCTTTAGCCTTTTTTCAAAACTCCACGTTCTTATCCCTGCTCTTTCTTTTAACTTATTCCTTTTAATTTCTTCCCTGATTAAATATCCTTCTGTCTAATCCAAAAACCCATCTTAGATATCTTTTTTCCTCTATCCTTTCTACTTCGTTTCTTTCTTTCCATCCCCATACTTCCACCCCGTAATTTATTACTGCCCATATTAACTTGTCAAATAGCCAAATCCTTTTACTCCTGTCCTTTCCAAATCTCTTTCCAATTCCCCATACTTCCCCCATTATCATGGCTGCCTTCCTTGTTCTCTCCTTGCCTCCTGCCCTGTGTTTCTCTGTAACCTATATCCTAAGTATGTAAATTCCTTTAACTCTTCTATTCTCTTTCCTCTCCACCACTCCTTCTCTCTTGCTTATCCTTCCTTTCTCTTTTCTAAATCTCATTATTTTGGTCTTGTCTACATTTAGCTCTAATTCTTTACTATCCAAATATTCCTCCATTCTGCCTATCATGCTTCTCATCCCCTCCTCGTCTTCCGCAAGTAATACGATATCGTCCGCGTACGCTAACGTATACACTTTCTTATCCCCCAGTCTTATTCCTCTTCACTTCATCCTTTCCATCTCTTCCTCCAGATCAACTATTACAAAGTTGAATAGCAATGGGCTCAACGGACACCCCTGCCTTACACCCCTCGCCGTCCAGAACGTCTTCCGTCCTACTCTCACCATGCTCTTTGTCTCGCTTAACGC